CATGGCGCTACAGAGGGTGGTGCGGACAGCCCAGTACATCACTTGGGCTGAGCGCCCTGCCATCCAGGACCTCTATATCAGGCAGTATGAAAGGAAAGCCTGGAAAATCATTAAAGACTCCAACCACCCAAGCCATAGACTGTTCTCTCTGCTTCCGCACGGTGCGCGGTACCGGAGCCTCATGTCTGACATCAACAGGCTCCTGAACAGCTTCTATCACCATGCCTTAACACTGCTAAATAGCTAACTAAATAACTAACAGAATGGCTACACAGACTATCTGAGTTGACATTTGTGTTGTATTTTAATTTTTGCACTGTCTCTATGCACACTCACAGGGCCCTACACACTGATATTCCAACCCACATACAAACACTCATGCCATCATCTGCTCAAACACACATAATATGTACATACAGTACCAGTCAAAAGTTTGGACACACCTACTAATTCAAGGGTTTTTCTATATTTTTACTATTGTCTACATTGTAGAATAATAGTGAAGACATCAAAACTATGAAATAACACATATGGAATCATGTAGTAACCAAAAAAGTGTTAAACAAATCAAACTATATTTTAGATTTTAGATTCTTCAAATAGCCACCCTTTGCCTTGATGATAGCTTTGCACACCCTTGGCATTCTCTCAACCAGCTTCATGAGGTAGTCACCTGGAATGCATTTCAATTAACAGGTGTGCCTTGTTAATAGTTAATTTGTGGAATTTCTTTCCTTCTTAATGTGTTTGAATCAATCAGTTGTGTTGTGTAGGTAGGGGTGGTGTACAGAAGATAGCCCTATTTGGTAAAAGACCAAGTCCATATTACGGGAAGAACAGCTCAAATAAGCAAAGAGAACCCTTGAATTAGTAGGTGTGTCCAAACTTATGACTGGTTCTGTATATGTACAGCATAGTGACACACCCACTCAATCATCATATACGCTGCTGCTACACACCCCTTCAAATTAGTGGGTTCGGCTATTTTAGTCACACCTGTTGCTGACAGGTGTATACAATCGAGTACACCGCCATGCAATCTCCATAGACAAACATTGACAGTACAATGGCCTTACTGAACAGCTCAGTGACTTTAAACGTGGCACCGTCATAGGATGCCACCTTTCCAACAAGTCAGTTTGTCTAATTTCTGCCCTACTAGAGCTGCCCCGGTCAACTGTAAATGCTGTTATTGTGAAGTGGAAACGTCTAGAAGCAACAACGGCTCAGCCGTGAAGTGGTAGGTCACAAGCTCACAGAACGGGACTGCTGAGTGCTGAAGCGCGTAGCCCGTAAAAATCGTCTGCCATCGGTTGCAACACTCACTACCGAGTTCCAAACTGCCTCTGGAAGCAACGTCAACACAAGAACTCCCGAGTGGCGTAGTGGTCTAAGGCACTGCATCGCAGTGCTAGCTGTGCCACTAGAGATCCTGGTTCGAGTCCAGGCTCTGTCGCAGCCGGCCGCGACCGGGAGACCCATGTGCAGTGCACAATTGGTCCAGCGTCGTCCAAGGTAGGGGAGGGTTTGGCCGGCAGGGATGTGGGTTTGTTTCCCACGGGGGGCTAGTATGAGAAAAAAAAAAAAAAAAAACGTATGCATTCACTAGCTGTAAGTTGCTCTGGATAAGAGCGTCTGCTAAATGACTAAAATCTAAGAACTGTTCGTCGGGAGGTTCATGAAATGGCTGCGCACAAGCCTAAGATTATCATGATCAATGCCAAGCGTCGGCTGGAGTAGTGTAAATCTCCCCGCCATTGGACTCTGGAGCAGTGGAAACATGTTCTCTGGAGTGATGAATCACACTTCACCATCTGGCAGTCCGACGGACGAATCTGGGTTTGGTGGATGCCTGGAGAATGCTACCTGCCTGGTGAAGGAGGAATAATGTTCTGGGGCAGTTTTTCATGGTTCGGGATAGGCCCCTTAGTTCCAGTGAAGGGAAATCATACAATGACATTCTAGACGATTTTGTGGTAACAGTTTGGGGAAGGCCCTTTCCTGTTTCAGCATGACAATTCCCCCTTGCAAAAAGCGAGGTCCATACAGACCTTTAAACTTTAAACACACACACTCATATCTAGGATTTAAAAAACATTCTGAGGTCAGAGTGGATGAACAGAAGATGAAGGAAAGGGGAAAAAGAGATAGAGAAAAGCTGTTGGTCCATGGTCCCTAAATAGGTGTTACAGGTCAGGGATTACAGGTCAAGGGTTACAGGTCAGGGGTTACAGGTCAGGGATTACAGGTCAGGGATTACAGGTCAGGGGCGACAGGTCAGGGGCGACAGGTCAGGGGTTACAGGTCAGGGGCGACAGGTCAGGGGCGACAGGTCAGGGGTGACAGGTCAGTGGTGACAGGTCAGGGATTACAGGTAGGGGCTACAGGTCAGGGGTTACAGGTCAGGGGTTATAGGTCAGGGGTTACAGGTCAGGGATTATAGGTCAGGGGTTACATGTCAGGGGTTACAGGTCAGGGGTTACAGGTCAGGAGTTTGAGGTCACACATACTGTTCTTTAGGGAAGGTGTAGGGTGCGAGGCCGGGAGGGGGGGATAGGGAGGGGAGGGAAGGATATCTGAAGACAGGGGAGGGATGGGAGGCGGGGGAGAAGATATTGTTGGAGTGGGTGTAGGGGTGCTGGGAGAGGAAGGAGAGGGGAGAGTTGATAGGTGGAGAGTCGGGGAGGAAGGAGAGGGGAGGGTTGATAGGTGGAGAGTAGGGTTCCGGGTAGTCGTCCTTGTTGCAGGCCAGGCGGTAGCTGACGTAGTCCGCTGTGTTGGGGAGGTCCTCATACACCCTCCCTGACCGCTGGGAAGAGAAGAGAGACAGACAGGTAGTTAATCCACTTTGTTGGGGAGCACACACACACACAAACACACACACATACACACACATACACACAAATACCCCACAACACCACAACACACACACACACACAGACACACAAAGACCCCACACAAACACACACACACAGACACACACCACACACACACAAACATCACAAGACCACGACACACACAGACACCAAAACACAAAAACACAAAACCAAAAGCACACACAGAACACCACACACAAAGACCACACACACACCTCCACACAACACACCCAACAACAAAAAACACACCACACAGACACAACACAAAAATACACACATCAGACAGCACACACCCATACCACACCCACACGCACTCAGCACACACAAAATGACAAACAACACAGCTACACACCAAATACACACACAAAGACACACACACACATACAATACACACACCCCACAAAGCACACACACAGACACCTCCCGACACACACACACACCCACACACACACATACAATACACACACACCCATACAACCCAAAAACACACTCCAGACACAAACACAACAAAACACAATTAAAAAAATACAAAACACCCCACAAAAACCACACAGACCACTCAGACCCCACACTCCTTACCCGGAAATTTATCACCAGGTTTTTTTTTGGCAGGAGGAAAAACCAGTTTAAAAGGGAAAGGGGCAGAGTCTGCCGGGGGAGAGAGAGGGTTTTGGAAATTTGGGTTTGAGATAGATAGAAGAAAGAGAAGGGGGAGAAGGGGAGAAGAGAGGAGAGAGAGAGAGAACAGAGAAGGGCCCCCCACAGGGGAAAAGAGAGAGAGAGAGAAGAGAAGAGAGAGAAGGGGAGAGAGAGAGAGAGAGGAGAGGAAAAAGGGCAGAGAGGGGAGACAAAAAGAAAGAGAGAGAACCAGAGAGAGGAAAAGACGAGAAAAGGGGAAGGTAGAGGGGAGAGAAAAGAGAGAAAAAGAGAGGACAAAGAGAGAAGAGAGGAGAGAGAAGACACAAAAGAACGAGAGAGAGAAGAAAGAGAGAAGAGGGGGGGGGGAAGGGGGGAGAAAAGAGAGAGGGAGAGAGGAGAGAGAGAGAGAGGGAAGAGAGAGAGAGGGGAAGAGAGAGAGAGAGGAAGAGGAGGGGAGGGGAAAAGAGAGAGAAAGGGGGAAGAGAAGGGGGGAAAAAGAGAGGAAAAGAACAAGAAGGGCCAAAACGGAAAGGAGAAGGTAGAGAGAAGAGAGAGAAAAAGAAGAGGGGCCAAAAGAGATTAGAAGAGAGAGAGAAACCAAAGAAACAGAAGAGAGAAGAAAAAAACAGAAAGGGGGGACACAGGAGAGAGAGAAAAGAGAAAAGGGGAGAGAGAGAAGGGGAAAGGGGAGAAGAGAAAAGAGAGAGGGATAGAGAGAAAAGAAGAAAGGGGGGAAAAAAGGGGGGGGAAAAAAAAAAGAAAAAAAAGAGAAAGAACAAAGAGAGGAAAACCAAAGAAAGGGGAAAAAAAAAAAGACAAGAAAAGGAAAGGAGGGGAAAACAGTAATATCGAACCATAGAATTATTAACACAAGAAAGGAAAGTTAGTTTTTATCATCTAGATAGGCAAGCTATTAGTAATAGCTTTTCGCTTGTAGGAACAGGGCATTGATAATAAATCAAATCAAAATAAATTATTAGAACAATAAATATGCATAGACCATCAGATAGCAAGCAGTAAGGAGGTGGTAGGAAAGGGATTGATAATAATAATAATAAATATAGCTGTGGACCCTAACCCTAACCCTAACCCTAACCCAATGGACAGGATGACAGAAAGAACCAGATCAGTTGGATAACAAACCAAGATCGATCATGTACTATCTTCCTTTATGTGCAGTCAGCATTACCATATTTATCAATATCACAAGGAGGACACAAGTGAAGTTTAGTATAGTGCTGTAAGTTGTTTGTCTTTGAATGCAGCAGGTAATCATTCTTAAAGTCATTACTTAATGTATTGAGTTTATTCTGGGGTCAATTTGACTAACGTTTTTTGTTAAGATTTGTGAAATATTTTCATCATTATTGTATTGGTATAATGACGTCATCTTTGAATTCTGGGACTTTATTTTGTCGTAATCTGTTTGTGTAAATGATTTAAATTTTAGTTTGTACACTCCACATTAGTGTTCCAAAAGACTTCAAGCAGCAGGACTTACTGAATAAAATATAATAATATAATATAATATGCCATTTAGCAGACGCTTTTATCCAAAGCGACTTACAGTCATGCGTGCATAAAATTTTTTTTTTTGTGTTTGTGGAAAAAAAGTATTTAGTCAGCCACCAATTGTGCAAGTTCTCCCACTTAAAAAGATGAGAGAGGCCTGTAATTTTCATCATAGGTACACGTCAACTATGACAGACAAATTGAGATTTTTTTTTCCAGAAAATCACATTGTAGGATTTTTAATGAATTTATTTGCAAATTATGGTGGAAAATAAGTATTTGGTCACCTACAAACAAGCAATATTTCTGGCTCTCACAGACCTGTAACTTCTTCTTTAAGAGGCTCCTCTGTCCTCCACTCGTTACCTGTATTAATGGCACCTGTTTGAACTTGTTATCAGTATAAAAGACACCTGTCCACAACCTCAAACAGTCACACTCCAAACTCCACTATGGCCAAGACAAAAGAGCTGTCAAAGGACACCAGAAACAAAATTGTAGACCTGCACCAGGCTGGGAAGACTGAATCTGCAATAGGTAAGCAGCTTGGTTTGAAGAAATCAACTGTGGGAGCAATTATTAGGAAATGGAAGACATACAAGACCACTGATAATCTCCCTCGATCTGGGGGCTCCACGCAAGATCTCACCCCGTGGGGTCAAAATGATCACAAGAACGGTGAGCAAAAATTCCAGAACCACACGGGGGAACCTAGTGAATGACCTGCAGAGAGCTGGGACCAAAGTAACAAAGCCTACCATCAGTAACACACTACGCCGCCAGGGACTCAAATCCTGCAGTGCCAGACGTGTCCCCCTGCTTAAGCCAGTACATGTCCAGGCCCGTCTGAAGTTTGCTAGAGTGCATTTGGATGATCCAGAAGAGGATTGGGAGAATGTCATATGGTCAGATGAAACCAAAATATAACTTTTTGGTAAAAACTCAACTCGTCGTGTTTGGAGGACAAAGAATGCTGAGTTGCATCCAAAGAACACCATACCGACTGTGAAGCATGGGGGTGGAAACATCATGCTTTGGGGCTGTTTTTCTGCAAAGGGACCAGGACGACTGATCCGTGTAAAGGAAAGAATGAATGGGGCCATGTATCGTGAGATTTTGAGTGAAAACCTCCTTCCATCAGCAAGAGCATTAAAGATGAAACGTGGCTGGGTCTTTCAGCACGACAATGATCCCAAACACACCGCCCGGGCAACGAAGGAGTGGCTTCGTAAGAAGCATTTCAAGGTCCTGGAGTGGCCTAGCCAGTCTCCAGATCTCAACCCCATAGAAAATCTTTGGAGGGAGTTGAAAGTCCGTGTTGCCCAGCGACAGCCCCAAAACGTCACTGCTCTAGAGGAGATCTGCATGGAGGAATGGGCCAAAATACCAGCAACAGTGTGTGAAAACCTTGTGAAGACTTACAGAAAATGTTTGACCTGTGTCATTGCCAACAAAGGGTATATAACAAAGTATTGAGAAACTGTTGTTATTGACCAAATACTTATTTTCCACCATTATTTGCAAATAAATTCATTAAAAATCCTACAATGTGATTTTCTGGAATTCTTTTCTAATTTTGTCTGTCATAGTTGACATGTACCTATGATGAAAATTACAGGCCTCTCTCATCTTTTTAAGTGGGAGAACTTGCACAATTGGTGGCTGACTAAATACTTTTTTCCCCCACTGTAAGGCCTGGCCATGTTTGTGTTATTTGTTTTCCAAATGGGTTTTTCAAATAAACACACAACACACCTAGTATGATGTTATAAAGGGTTGTTATTTTGAGTGTGAGGAGTTTCAACAGGCCAAAGGTGATAAGTCTTAAAGGAGCACACAGTGAATTTTATGAAGTTTTTATATTTGACTGAGTTTTGGGTATACATGATTTCTTATGAGAATAAATGTCATGAGGATATTAGGTACACTTGGGGTACATAACATTTATTAGAAGTTTTAAATGTTGGTAATGATTAGTATACTATTTGATGGAACAATTCGTTGAATGATTTCAATGACCTCTGAACTCGGTTTTGACTTGCTGGTGTGATCTGATCATCCACACTAGTAATCCTGGAAACATGGGTGAGGAATTTAAGATAGTTCATTTTACTGAGTTGAGGGTAATTTATTAAAACGGACTATTGTGACGTGGTTTATAATTTGATTTTAATATATATGATTTGAGCTATAAAATAACTAAAGAGAGAGGGAGCTATCCTGAATGAGGGATACCTGTTGATAGTTAATTATACTAATCGTGGATTACTTTATGGGATAGAAGTAAATTCATTTTAATTAAATTTTTATTATGATTTAATAAATAATAATAATAATATGCCATTTAGCAGACACTTTTATCCAAAGCGACTTACAGTCATGCGTGCATACATTTTTGTGTATGGGTGGTCCCGGGGATCGAACCCACTACCCTGGCATTACAAGCGCCGTGCTCTACCAGCTGAGCTACAGAGGACCACCATAAACAATGTTGGTGTTTTGTTTTTGAAAGCATGAATCACGTTGTGACTCATGTGTTCAAAAAAGGGGGTAGTATTGATGGTATGAGGATTTATTGGTATATTTGCATATCATAGTAAGAATGTGAGCAGTAGTAAGTAATGTGTTATGGGTTAGATTAAATGTTTTAGGGGAAAATATATTTGTGGTATAAGGAAGAATGTAGAGGAGGATTTTCTATGACATTAGTGACTATAACAAGCTGCAAGAATGTGCACTTCCTAATCTAGAAGGCTTATCAGGACTGATAAGAAGACAGGATGAAGTAGCATGCTGTGTCTCAACTAACAATGTTATCCAGATTTTCTTTAGAAAAGGTGAAGGCTTCTCTGCCAGACCTACCAGGAGAATCTGGACATTTTTTGCAACTTGGAGACTATGTGGTGGTAAAGGATTAAGGAAGTAATTGATGGACAACACCCAAGTGGGAAGGTTAGGAATAGGTGTTGATGGATGCCTTGATGGAGGGGCAAGTAAGAGAGAGAGATTCCTAGATCTGTATGTACCATTGTAGGACTTTTCTAACGAAGAGGAGGAAGATGGCACCGCTTCGGCGGAGCATTGTTTTGTTTTGTCTGTGTGTTTTTGGAAACAGGGAATATTGGTACGCTGATAGAAGGACACAACAACAGAGAGATGGTGATAAATGGAGAAGGACTCTGCATGATCATAGAACTAGTGAAGGAAGAAGGTTCATGCATCATCACACAGTCTACACCAACGGAGGTATGGATAGAGGGGAGATTGAACAGGTATCAGGTCAACCAACAGATGGCTACGAGGAAACTGACGATTAGAGATGAGGATACTGTTGATGACAATTATCAGGTGATGGAGGACAATGTTTGAGGAATGACAATGATGAGATGTGGGTTATGGCTGATTACCTCAGTGGAGGAACAGAGCTATAGACCTCCAATAATTTCAAGATTTCCAGATTTCCAGGAATCAACTGGCTGTCATTCCATTCGGTTATATGTATTTAAAGGGTTTACGTAATAGAAATTGGGAAGTATAATAGGAATTGGTATTAGGAATTATTGTTAAAGCATGATCATTTGTCATATGATGAATGTTTATAGGGATTTATTGGTTTAGAAATTAAATCAATTAAATTGTTGTATTTTTTGTCTTCTAGTGAGGTAAATACAGATGGTATCTTGATGCATAATAAGGGATAATTTGGAATAGAATGGTGTGTACCTATAAATCAGTAAGTAACAAACTATGAACCGGCTGAAGATGAATATCAGAGGCGTTGAAGATGTTTTTGTAAAATACAATTTCTACATGCAACTGGTCTACAACAAACAATCGAAGATATCAAAGGATTTAATTTTTTTATATCGAAGGAGTGGGAAAGGAGTTCACCATTGAGTGAGAATGGAGAAAGATATGTTGAAATGCAACATTTCTCATGTTGTTGGTATAATGGTTGGCAAATGGACATTACATTGAGGTTGTGGAGTTGGTGATGAATCGAATGGGACATTGTAGTTGTGACATTTTAATGGGAAAGTCATTTTGGAATATGAAGCTGTCGGAAGAACATAATGAAGAGGCGCCAGAAGATGTAAGTGCTGGGTGGAATAAAGGGGTTGCTTGTTGATAATAAAATTGGATTTATCTAAATTTGATAAGTTGGGTAGTAGGTATATACACTGCTAAATTGATATTATTGGTAATGCATTGAGATAATGATCTGTATTTATTATCAGGATGAGGAAGGTCATAATTGAATTATGGATGTTTATAATGTATGATAACATAAGTATACATTCTGGAAGTTGTAATGGAAGTTAAGGTGAGGATTGTGAATGAAATAATGAAGATGTTGATTAATTTGGTTAAAGTATTAAAATATTAGTAATGATATAGATTTGGCGTATTGGGTGATATTGATATGGATGTTTAGAGTAGTAAATATTTATGTTGATAGGCAAGTACTTAGTTGGTTATTATCATGGGGTTAGGATGTTTTCATATGATCTGAATTTGGTTGAATTATTAAAGCGGGAATAGTTTAGAGATGTAATGATTTAACAGGGAATGTTAAGTTGGAATTGTATGCCATGGAATTAAGGGTTACAGGAAGAAGATGGATATCTCAGTGGATCAGATTGACCCTTGTGACCAGGATAAGCTTGGGGTTCCTCTGACAGCGCATGGATGATGAAGATGGATGTTTTTGTTATTTTTATATGAATGTGTATAGATTATAATATTCATGTAACTTAGTAATGGTTATGTATAATTGTTGTGTATTGTTGATGTCATTATGGTAACAATTTATTTCTATGTATGTTTTTTTAATTGCGTCTATCAGAAAAAGGGGTCATTTTAAAAGAGGGGATGATGTCTATGTGGTATTTTTTCCTTATATATATATATAAAAAATAAGGTTTTGACTACATAGATTATTATCATGAATATATAGTAGTTAATTATCTGTTTATCTTTTACTCTGACTGAGTTTATAGGGGTTTGAGAGGTTTGATATCACATAAGATAGATGACTGAGAATTTATACCTTTGTTGATTAAATATATGGAGAATCAAGTTGGACTGTAGATAGGGATCAATTCTCAGTTATCTAGCATGGTTTAGGATCTAGTCAGAGATATATGTACTACTGATTAGATAATATTGAATTTTATAAGAATTTATATGTGAATTGTTTGGGGTTAAGTCATGTCACTTACCACAAAAGAAAAAAAAATGGATTGTTATGATGTCATGTCATAGGATTGTGAGGACAGGGAAAGAGTTAAGAGATGAGTGGTTTGGGGCCATGAAGTCTACATTCCATTATGTCAAAGGAGATTAGTGATGTTTAGGATAGCATGAGTGATTAGAATAGCATGAGTGATTTTTAGAATAGCATGAGGGATGTTTAGGATACTGACTTGGGGTAAAATGTGATGAACATCAAAGACAGGGAGTGCCCATGGAGACTTGCCAGATGTATGCCAGGAAGATGGTAATAAAGGCTATATAAGATAGAGGGTCTTCTTTGTTCAAGTTTGTCACGCCCTGGCTCTGGGGACTCTTATATGTTGAGCCAGGGTGTGGATTTTCTATGTGTTATTTTCTATGTTTTGTTCTAGTTCATGTATTTCTATGTTGGCCAGGGTGGTTCCCAATCAGAGGCAGCTGATGCTCGTTGTCTCTGATTGGGGACCATACTTAGGCAGCATGTTTGGCACTAGTCATTGTGGGATCTTGTTCCGGAAGGTTTGTTTTGGTGTTTAACCTAGGACTTCACGTATCGTTTGTTGTTTTGTTTTGATCGTGTGTCAAGTACGTTAATTGAATAAAGTATGTACGCTTACCACGCTGCGCCTTGGTCCGCTGTTTATAACGATCGTGACAAAGTTAGTTCAACTGACGAAGGGCAAAGCCATGTCTGTTTGTTAGATGAACCCACAAGCTTGTGATTCAATAAATACTTGGTATGAAATCACCACAGAATGTCTAAGTATATTCTTGCATCCTTGATTCTTTGATACCCGAGAAACTCATCATAACACTTATAGAACAGCGGGGTCTGTGAAGCAACACAATGATAGGCACAGACACATGCACGCACACACACGATAACATACGCACTATACACACACGTACACATGGATTTTGTGTTGTAAATATGTGGTAGTAGAGTAGGGGCCTGAGGGCACACACTTAATGTTTTGTGAAATCTGTTGTGAATGTATTGTAATGTTTTTTAAATGGTATAACTGCCTTCATTTTGCTGGACCCAAGGAAGAGCAGCTGCTCCTTGGTTTAAATGGACACGTAAAATCAGATTTTTGATTTTTCAATAACTCAGCCATCTTTTGAACAATGGTTTGGCCCTATGGTTCATGAGAAGTCTTTAAAATGTTTTCAAAAATTTCCAAGATGGAGGAAAATCGATCCCGATGGACCTTCTGTGTCTGTGAGGCAAATTTGTTCAGCATGAGGAAAGACACCGACATACAAAGTTTCAAGTCTCTAGGTCAAACTGGGCTTAAGTGAGACTGCTTATAACAACGCTACCTACAGGCCAATCGGTGCCATTCTTTTTGACCAAGTTACTCATGGCCTCTAGTTTCTGTGTGCAAATTAGAAATCAAGTTACTAATCTATGCTGGAGTTATCTGACCATGTCAATAACAATAGGTTTGATAACTAATAATATACATACGAGTCAGCATCCATCTCTCTCCTCTGTTTTCTCCTGTTAAGAAGCAGCACAGTGATCGCTACGCCCAGAATCAGCCCCACAGCAAATAGTACGCCCAGAACACTGATGACATCACCTGTTCCCACCTGGGGCAGTGGCTCATCTACACAGAGAGAAAAACAACAGTTACACACACACACACACACACACACACACACACACTCCAGATAACCATTGTAACCAGATGACCTTACCTGTGATGCTGACCTCCACGAAGGCGGAGCTTGTCCCAATGCTATTGGTCGCGTCGCAGACATAAGTCCCTCCCACCTCGTATCTGATTGGTCCTTTAAATAACAGGACATTGTCACGGATCTCTACGCTGTTCGGTATGGAACCATTCAACCTACAGGGACACACACACACCCATACACACACACAAACACACACGAATGCCATTATTCCAAGTATGACATAACATGCATAGCTTCATAAATATCAAACATATATAAATGTGGACAGACCATAGAATTATAAAGAGGACTCATCTTTTTATTTAATCACATAATGGCTTCTGTGACACCATTGAGGGCTTTCTCCATTTTAAGTAGTCAATTTCTTCTTCTTCTATTTCTATGAGTCAGTAAACAAACTGAAAGGGTGCATACTTCCACCTGGAGGGTGTTGTCTGAACAGGTATAAAGCCAAGGTTGGTGATTTACTGCCCCCTGGAGGGTGTTGTCTGAACAGGTATAAAGCCAAGGTTGGTGATTTACTGCCCCCTGGAGGGTGTTGTCTGAACAGGTATAAAGCCAAGGTTGGTGATTTACTGCCCCCTGGAGGGTGTTGTCTGAACTGGTATAAAGCCAAGGTTGGTGATTTACTGCCCCCTGGAGGGTGTTGTCTGAACTGGTATAAAGCCAAGGTTGGTGATTTACTGCCCCCTGGAGGGTGTTGTCTGAACAGGTATAAAGCCAAGGTTGGTGATTTACTGCCCCCTGGAGGGTGTTGTCTGAACTGGTATAAAGCCAAGGTTGGTGATTTACTGCCCCCTGGAGGGTGTTGTCTGAACAGGTATAAAGCCAAGGTTGGTGATTTACTGCCACCTGCAGTAATGGAATGTTTTCTCATGAGTATAATTAATTAGCTGATCCCTCCTGATGACCTGGATGGAATTATATGATCCTTCCTTAACCCATAGGAAGTCCCACCTGTTGACTATTAAAACATTCCTCAATGGCGCTGTCCATGCTAAAACAAGCTATATCCATCAAGAGCCCTCTTTATATCTCTATGAGATTGGTATACTCACAGTTACGCTTAGGGTTAGAGGTTAGGGGTCAGAGGTCAGGGGTTACTCACATTCTCCACTGGAACAGAGAGACAGGTGGGTTGGCGTCGGCCAGACATGTGAGCTCAACGTTCTGACGGTCCAGGTACCAGTTCCCATCGAACCCCTCCACTGACACCTCTGGTTCATCTGAAATAAAATAATAATATATAATCATATCATATATGCCATTTAGCAGAGACTTTTATCCAAGCCAATTACTGTAATTCACACATGCACAAGGGAGTGGATCAGTGTGACTGTGAAAGTGTGTGTGTGTATGTGCACGTGCATGTGTGTGTATGCGATATGTGTGTATCAGGGTTGGGCTCAATTCGAATTAAAGGAAATAAACCACAATTACAATTCAATCATTGAAAAAAGGGCATTTATTTTCAATGACTTCTTACAGTATTTCCTAATTGTTAACACACGTTTGCTGAAATTACGTCTCAGGTACTCAAAACTCTAATACACAAAACAGTTAGCCAATTTCCCCAAACCCCACAGACATCTTGCAAAATGAAACACAGCAATCAAAATCATGTACTCCCTGCTCAAAATCAAACTCTGCATACAAATGAGACACATATCAAATGAATCTAACTTAGTGACAACCAAGACCACACTAATGTGACCTATTCAAAACACTACTATCAGAACCTATTTCAGTGTAAAGACTAAGATTTTGTTGTTAGACTGTATATTGTTTGTGTGTACTCAAACAAGAAAGGAACACAAATGCACAAATTTAAGTTTTATATTTCAACATGACTCAATACAGGTCAAACAGCATAATGTAGGGACACATTCAGTAAAAATGCAAACGTAAAGTAAATATATTTTGCATATGCAAAGGAAGAAAAATTGGCCTATTTGTACTACTGTATGTTAGATCAATTGTACAGAATAGATAAAGAAAGTCAAAAAACAGTAAAATCATAATTCAAGAAACAAAATCAGTCATGTCTGTTGTTCTGGTCCGGCCACAGATTTTCATCAACATCACAGGAGATATTCTCCTTGGCCAGACAGCGGGGGAAATATCTTCTAGCATGACGTATCCACCCCTGATACACCTTCCACCGCCATGCTGAAAACAACTCCTCAGGGAGATAGAGAACTAACCCTAACCCTAACCCTAACCCTAACCCAACTCCTCAGGGCGATAGAGAACTAACCCTAACCCTAACCCTAACCCAACTCCTCAGGGAGATAGAGAACTAACCCTAACCCTAACCCAACTCCTCAGGGCGATAGAGAACTAACCCTAACCCTAACCCTTCCACCACCATGCTGAAAACAACTCCTCCATGGGGACTATGGAGAACTAACCCTAACCCTAACCCTAACCCAACTCCTCCATGGGGAATATGGAGGGAGATAGAGAACAACTCCTCCATGGGAACTATGGAGGGAGATAGAGAACTAACCCTAACCCTAACCCTAACCCAACTCCTCAGGGAGATAGAGAACTAACCCTAACCCTAACCCAACACCTCAATGGGGACTATGGAGGGAGATAGAGAACTAACCCTAACCCTAACCCTAACCCAACTCCTCAGGGAGATAGAGAACCGTAAACCTGGGATGGTCATGGAACCAGTTACGGACCTGAGCAGCCCGATGGAAACTCACGTTGTCCCAAATTAGAACATTCTCAGGATCACCTGGCCCCTCTCTGCTCTGGCTGAAAAAGATGAAAGGTGTTCAGAAAATGAAGGATGTATGATCCAAGGGTGGTATGGTGGTGGAGGACCCCATTGTGGCTCATAGCTGGTGACATTTACCCCACGCTGGCCAGGTACCTCAATGATGTTCCTTCCTCTCCTCATGGTGGTGGAGGACCCCATTGTGGCTCATAGCTGGTGACGTTTACCCCACGCTGGCCAGGTACCTCAATGATGTTCCTTCCTCTCCTCCTCGTCTTCGCTAAGTTGAATCCAGCCTCATCTATGAATATGAGTTCCTGGGGGATGGGACTTACATCCAACTCTATGAGTCTCTGAAATGACAGTAAATACTGTAATTGCTGTATAGAAAAGATCACTGGCAACATCAATGAGCCTCTGATGTTTAAAGAGTGTAATACTAATACATTGCTTACTTCCACATATTCGTACCGTTTATCCTTCACTATTTGGGAATTCCTTTCAAATGGGACTCTGTAGATTTGCTTCATCCGGAGATGGTGTTTCTTAAGGATGTGGGCTATAGTTGATAAACTCACTCTGACGTTATGGAAAATGGCAAGGTTTTCAACAATCTATTGTTGGATTTCCTCGCAGTCTTATGGCATTATGTTCAACTACCATTTGCACAAAGACAGCCTCCTGTTCATCTGTAAATAGACGTGTTCTACCATCACGTGGTCGTCGTCTTTCAGTTCTACAATAACAAAATAGCACACAGTACAGTAAACACTACAGTAACACACTATACAAGATACACATGTTACAAAGTAGTATCGCTCCCAGTTTCATACGTACAGTAATAGAGAAAACGTTGACTTTGTTTCCCCTTACAGTATGTATTGGAATCTACAGTCTTTACTGTGCTTTATGTAGTACTACTGTCAAGTAGTAAAAGTAGTAGACAGGTCCAATGTCTGCAGTACATACCTATTCTGATTTTGGGACGTCCGGATGATGGAGGCTACAGTGAAGGGGCTCAGATTGGGCCGCATTCTCTGCCCTGCCTCTCTCGAGGTCAAACCTTGGTTTACCACATGGTCCACCACAGTCGCCCGAATGTCAGAGATTACTCTCCTTGTTCTTGGTCTTCCTCCACCCCCACCCCCACCCCCACCCCCACCCCCACCCCCACCCCCACCTCCACCTCCACCCCCACCCCCACCTCCACCTCCACCCCGACCTCCACCTCCACCTCCACCCCGACCTCCACCCCCACCTCCACCTCCACCCCGACCTCCACCTCCACCTCCACCACGACCTCCACCTCCACCTCCACCTCCACCTCCACCCCGACCTCCACTCCCACCTCCACCTCCACCTCTACCCCTACAAACTAACTAGTTTCGTCATGTTGATTGATTCAAAGATTTGAACACAGGTTATCTTATTTCCTCCACAGCGCTTTAATGCACTGTAACACAATGTTTTTACTTCTGTGTTATGTCCTGATCTCTGTTTTTATTTACTGAATGGATGTATTTATGTTTTTCTGTTTTGTGTACAATGTTTCCATGTCTAGATGTTCACCTATGTCTAGATGTTTATAATGTTTCAATGTCTAGATGTTCACCTATGTCTATATGTATAGAATGTTTCCATGTCTAGATGTATAGAATGGTTCCATGTATAGATGTTCACCTATGTCTAGACATATAGAAAGTTTCCATGTCTAGATGTTCACCTATGTCTAGATGTAGAGAATGTGTTCCATGTCTAGATGTTCACACTATGTCTAGATGTATATAATGTTTCCATGTATAGATGTTCACCTATGTCTAATGTATAGAATGTCTAATGTCTAGATGTATAGAATGTTTCCATGTCTAGATGTTCAACTGTGTCTAGATGTATAGAATGTTCCATGTCTAGTTGTTCAACTATGTCTAGATGTAATAATGTTTCCATGTCTAGACATATAGAATGTTTCCATGTCTAGATGTATAGAATGGTTCCATGTCTAGATGTTCACCTATGTCTAGATGTAAAGAATGTTTCCATGTCTAGACATATAGAATGTTTCCATGTCTAGATGTTTAGAATGTTTCTATACAATGTTATATGTCAGGATGTTCACCTATGTTGTAGATGTTTATAAGTTTTCCATGTCTAGATGTTCGACCTGTGTCTAGATGTATAGAATGTTCCATGTCTAGATTTCACCTATGTCTAGATGTATGAAGGTTTCCATGTTCTAGATGTTTAGAATGTTTCTATACAATGTTATATGTCTAGATGTTCACCTATGTGTAGATGTTTATAAAGTTTACATGTCTAGATGTTCACCTGTGTCTAGATGTATAGAATGTTCCATGTCTAGATTTTCACCTATGTCTAGATGTATAGAATGTTTCCATGTCTAAATGTTCACCTATGTTTAGACATATAGAATGTTTCCATGTCAAGATGTTCACCTATGTCTAGATGTATAGAATGTTTCCATGTCTAGATGTACAGAATGTTTCCATGTCTAAATGTTCACCTATGTCTAGACATATAGAATGTTTCCATGTCTAGATGTTCACCTATGTCTAGATGTAAACATGTTTCCATGTCTAGACATATAGAATGTTTCCATGTCTAGATGTATAGAATGTTTCCATGTCTAGATGTTCACCTATGTCTAGACATATAGAATGTTTCAATGTATAGATGTATAGAATGTTTCCATGTATAGATGTTCACCTATGTCTAGATGTATAAATGTTTCCATGTCTAGACATATAGAATGTTTCCATGTCTAGATGTATAGAATGTTTCCATGTCTAGATGTTCACCTGTGTCTAGATGTATAGAATGTTCCATGTCTAGATGTTCACCCATGTCTAGACATATAGAATGTTTCCAAGTCTAGATGTTCACCTATGTCTAGATGTATAGAATGTTCACATGTCTAGATGTTCACCTATGTCTAGACATATAGAATGTTTCCATGTCTAGATGTATAGAATGTTGCCATGTCTAGATATTCACCTATGTCTAGATGTATACAATGTTTTCCATGTCTAAAATGTTCACCTGTGTCTAGATGTATAGAATGTTTCCATGTCTAGATGGTATAGAATGTTTCCATGTCTAGATGTATAGAATGTTCCATGTCTAGATGTATAGAATGTTTCCATGTCTAGATGTATAGAATGTTTTCCATGTCTAGATGTATAGAATGTTTCCATGTCTAGATGTAATAGAATGTTTCCATGTCTAGATGTATAGAATGTTTTCCATGTCTAGACATATACAATGTTTCCATGTCTAGATGTATAGAATGTTTCCATGTCTAGATTTATAGAATGTTCCATGTCTAGATGTTCACCTATGTGTAGATGTTTATAATGTTTCAATGTTCTAGATGTATAGAATGTTTTACAATGTATAGATGTTCACCTATGTCTAGATGTAAAATGGTTTCCATTTCTAGACATATAGAATGTTTCCATGTCTAGATGTATAGAATGTTTCCATGTCTAGATGTATAGAATGTTTCCATTTCTAGATGTTCATCTGTGTCTAGATGTATAGAACGTTCCATGTCTAGATGTTCACCTATGTCTAGACATATAGAAGTTTTCCATGTCTAGATGTATAGAATGTTTCCATGTCTAGACATATAGAATGTTTCCATATCTAGATGTAAGAATGTTTCTATAGAATGTTACATGTCTAGATTTTCACCTATGTGTAGATGTTTATAATGTCTCAATGTCTAGATGTATAGAATGTTTTACATGCAATACCCTAGATGCAATTGCACCCCTAAAAAACGAAAAACATTTGTCATAAGAAACTAGCTCCCTGGTATACAGAATATACCCGAGCTTTGAAGCAAGCTTCCAGGAAATTGGAACGGAAATGGCGCCACACCAAACTGGAAAGTCTTCCGACTAGCTTGGAAAGACAGTACTGTGCAGTACCGAAGAGCCCTCAACTGCTGCTCGATCATCCTACTTTTCCAACTTAATCGAGGAAAATAAGAACAATCCAAAATTTCTTTTTGATACTGTTTGCAAAGCTAACTAAAAAGCAGCATTCCCCAAGAGAGGATGGCTTTCACTTCAGCAGTAATAAATTCATGAACTTCTTTGAGGAAAAGATCATGACCATTAGAAAGCAAATTACGGACTCCTCTTTGAATCTGCGTATTCCTCCAGGGCTTAGCTGTCCTGGATCTGCACAGCTCTGCGAGGGCCTGGGATCGGGAGAGACACTTAAGTGTTTTAGTACTATATCTCTTGACACAATGATGAAAATAATCATGGCCTCTAAACCTTCAAGCTGCATACTGGATCCTATTCCTACTAAACTGCTGAAGGAGCTGCTTCCTGTGCTTGGCCCTCCTATGTTGAACATAATAAACAGCTCTCTATCCACCGGATGTGTACCAAACTCACTAAAAGTGGCAGTGATAAAGCCTCTCTTGGAAAAAGCCAAACCTTGACCCGGAAAATATAAAAAACTATCGGCCTATATCGAATCTTCCATTCCTCTCAAAAATTTTAGAAAAAGCTGTTGCGCAGCAACTCACTGCCTTTCTGAAGACAAACAATGTATACGAAATGCTTCAGTCTGGTTTTAGACCCCATCATAGCACTGAGACTGCACTTGTGAAGGTGGTAAATGACCTTTTAATGGGTCAGACCAAACAAAATCAGTCATGTCTGTTTGATTCTGGTCCGGCCACAGATTTTCATCAAACATCACAGGAATATTCGTCCTGTGCCCGACCGGGGGGGAAATATCTTACCTAGCATGGACGTTATCCGACCCCAGAGATACAAAAACACCTCCAGTCCAATCCATCCACCGCCATGCGAAAACAACTCCTCAGGGATAATAGAGAACTAACCCTAAACCCTAACCCTAACCACTAACCCCTACGTCCCTCAGGGCGTAGAGAACTAACCCTATAACCCTAACCCTAACCCAACTCCCCTCAGGGATAATAGAGAAACTAACCTAACCCTAACCCAACTCCTCAGGGCGATAGAGAACTAACCTTAACCCTAAAAACCCTAACCCTTCAACCCCCATGGGCTGAAAACAACTCCTCATGGGGACTATGGAGAACTAACCCTAACCCTAACCCTTAAACCCAACTCCTCCATGGGGAATGGAGGGAGATGAGAACAACTCCCATGGGAAACTATGGAGGGAGATAGAGAACTAACCCTAACCCTAACCCTAACCCAACTCTCAGGTATATGCGACCTAACCCTAAACGCCTAACCAACACCTCAATGGGGACCTAGGGAGGGGATAGAGAACAACCCTAACCACAACCCGTAACCCAACGTCCATACAGGGAGCATAGAGAACCGTAAACCTGGATTGGTCATGGACCCAGTTTTTACGGACCTGAGCAGGCCGATGGGGAAACTTCACGTTGTCCCAAATTAGAACAGGTCGTCAGGAATCACCGTGGCCCTCTCTGCTCTGGCTGAAAAAAGATATCATGGTGTTCAGATGAAATTGAAGGAATTATGATCCAAGGGTTGGTATGGTGGTGGAGGAGCCCCTTGTGGCTCATAGCCTGTTGACATTTAAACCCCACCGCTGGGGCCAGGTACCGTCACTAGAGGTTCTGAGTCCGTCTGTATCCTGTCACTCATCCTCATGGTGTTGGAGGACCCATTGTGGCCCATAAGCTGGTGACGTATTACCTAACCGCCCACGCTGCCAGGTACCTCAATGCTGTTCCTTCCTTCTCCCTCCTCGTCTTCGCTAAGTTGAAATCCATCCTCATGCTCTGAATATGAGTTCCTGGGTGATGGGTCTTACATCCACTTCTATGATCTCTGAATGAACAGTAATACTGTAATTCTGTATAGAAAAGATACTAGGCAACATCAATGAGCCGCTGATGTTTAAAGAGTGTTAATACTAATACATTTGCTTACTTCCACATTTCGTACCGTCTGATGCCTTCACTAATCATATGGGAATTCCGTTCAAATGGGACTCGGTAGGATTTGTCTTCAAATCCGGAGATGGTGTTTCTTAAGACGATTGGGCTATAGTTATAAACTTCCTCTGACGTTATTGAAAATGGCAAGGTTTTCAAACAATCTAATATGTTGGATTTCCTCGCAGTTCGTTATGGCATTTGTTTCAACTAACCATTTGCACAAAGACAAGGGGGGCCTCCTGTTCATCTTGTAAAAGACGTGTTCTCTACCTCACGTGGTCGTCGTCTTTCAGTTCAACAATAACAAAATGCACACAGTACAGTAAACACTACAGTAAACCCACTATACAAGGTAACACACATTTACAAACGTAGTATCGCGCCCAGTTTCATAACGTACAGTAATGAGAACTAACGTGACTGTTGTTTTTCCCTTACAAGTATGTATTGGAATCTACAGTCTTTAACACTGTGCTTTATGTAGTACTACTGTCAAGTAGTAAAAAGTAAAGTAGACTAGGTCCAAGTCTCCAGTACATACCTATCTGATTTTGGAAACGATCCGGATTGGAGGCTACAGTGAAGGGGTCATGATTTAGGTCCGCATTCTCTCCCTGCCTCTCTGCGAGGTCAAACCTTGTTTTACCACATGGTCCAACCACAGTCGCCCGAATGTCAGCTATTACTCTCCTTGTTGTGTCTTTTCCTCCACCCCCCCACCCCCCCCCCACCCCCACCCCCACCCCCACCCCCACCTCCACCTCCACCCCCCCCCCCCCCACCGTCCACCGCCACCGCACTACCGTCCCCTTCCACCTCCACCCCGACCTCCACCACCCACCTCCACCTCCACCCCGACATCCACCTCCACCTCACCCCCCTTTCTCCCCTTCCACCACGCCCTCCCCCTCCCACCCTCCACCTCCCTCCCCTTCACCGTACCTCCCACTCCACCTCCACCTCCTTACCCCTACAAACTAACTAGTTTCGTCATGTTGATTGATTCAAAGTTTGAACACAGGTTATCTTATTTCCTCCACAGCGCTTTAATGCACTGTAACACAATGTTTTTACTTCTGTGTTATGTCCTGATCTCTGTTTTTATTTACTGAATGGATGTATTTATGTTTTTCTGTTTTGTGTACAATGTTTCCATGTCTAGATGTTCACCTATGTCTAGATGTTTATAATGTTTCAATGTCTAGATGTTCACCTATGTCTATATGTATAGAATGTTTCCATGTCTAGATGTATAGAATGGTTCCATGTATAGATGTTCACCTATGTCTAGACATATAGAAAGTTTCCATGTCTAGATGTTCACCTATGTCTAGATGTATAGAATGTTTCCATGTCTAGATGTTCACCTATGTCTAGATGTATATAATGTTTCCATGTATAGATGTTCACCTATGTCTAGATGTATAGAATGTTTCTATGTCTAGATGTATAGAATGTTTCCATGTCTAGATGTTCAACTGTGTCTAGATGTATAGAATGTTCCATGTCTAGTTGTTCAACTATGTCTAGATGTAATAATGTTTCCATGTCTAGACATATAGAATGTTTCCATGTCTAGATGTATAGAATGGTTCCATGTCTAGATGTTCACCTATGTCTAGATGTAAAGAATGTTTCCATGTCTAGACATATAGAATGTTTCCATGTCTAGATGTTTAGAATGTTTCTATACAATGTTATATGTCTAGATGTTCACCTATGTGTAGATGTTTATAAAGTTTCCATGTCTAGATGTTCACCTGTGTCTAGATGTATAGAATGTTCCATGTCTAGATTTTCACCTATGTCTAGATGTATAGAATGTTTCCATGTCTAGATGTTTAGAATGTTTCTATACAATGTTATATGTCTAGATGTTCACCTATGTGTAGATGTTTATAAAGTTTACATGTCTAGATGTTCACCTGTGTCTAGATGTATAGAATGTTCCATGTCTAGATTTTCACCTATGTCTAGATGTATAGAATGTTTCCATGTCTAAATGTTCACCTATGTTTAGACATATAGAATGTTTCCATGTCAAGATGTTCACCTATGTCTAGATGTATAGAATGTTTCCATGTCTAGATGTACAGAATGTTTCCATGTCTAAATGTTCACCTATGTCTAGACATATAGAATGTTTCCATGTCTAGATGTTCACCTATGTCTAGATGTAAACATGTTTCCATGTCTAGACATATAGAATGTTTCCATGTCTAGATGTATAGAATGTTTCCATGTCTAGATGTTCACCTATGTCTAGACATATAGAATGTTTCAATGTATAGATGTATAGAATGTTTCCATGTATAGATGTTCACCTATGTCTAGATGTATAAATGTTTCCATGTCTAGACATATAGAATGTTTCCATGTCTAGATGTATAGAATGTTTCCATGTCTAGATGTTCACCTGTGTCTAGATGTATAGAATGTTCCATGTCTAGATGTTCACCCATGTCTAGACATATAGAATGTTTCCAAGTCTAGATGTTCACCTATGTCTAGATGTATAGAATGTTCCATGTCTAGATGTTCACCTATGTCTAGACATATAGAATGTTTCCATGTCTAGATGTATAGAATGTTGCCATGTCTAGATATTCACCTATGTCTAGATGTATACAATGTTTCCATGTATAAATGTTCACCTGTGTCTAGATGTATAGAATGTTTCCATGTCTAGATGTATAGAATGTTTCCATGTCTAGATGTATAGAATGTTCCATGTCTAGATGTATAGAATGTTTCCATGTCTAGATGTATAGAATGTTTCCATGTCTAGATGTATAGAATGTTTCCATGTCTAGATGTATAGAATGTTTCCATGTCTAGATGTATAGAATGTTTCCATGTCTAGACATATACAAATGTTTCCATGTCTAGATGTATAGAATGTTTCCATGTCTAGATGTATAGAATGTTCCATGTCTAGATGTTCACCTAGTGTAGATGTTTATAATGTTTCAATGTCTAGATGTATAGAATGTTTTACATGTATAGATGTTCACCTATGTCTAGATGTAAAAATGTTTCCATTTCTAGACATATAGAATGTTTCCATGTCTAGATGTATAGAATGTTCCATGTCTAGATGTATAGAATGTTTCCATTCTAGATGTTCATCTGTGTCTAGATGTATAGAACGTTCCATGTCTAGATGTTCACCTATGTCTAGACATATAGAATGTTTCCATGTCTAGATGTATAGAATGTTTCCATGTCTAGACATATAGAATGTTTCCATATCTAGATGTATAGAATGTTTCTATAGAATGTTACATGTCTAGATGTTCACCTATGTGTAGATGTTTTATAATGTCTCAATGTCTAGATGTATAGAATGTTTACATGCAATACCCTAGATGCAATTGCACCCCTAAAAACGAAAAACATTTGTCATAAGAAACTAGCTCCCTGTATACAGAATATACCCGAGCTTTGAAGCAAGCTTCCAGAAATTGGAACGGAAATGGCGCCACACCAAACTGGAAGTCTTCCGACTAGCTTGGAAAGACAGTACTGTGCAGTACCGAAGAGCCCTCACTGCTGCTCGATCATCCTACTTTTCCAACTTAATCGAGGAAAATAAGAACAATCCAAAATTTCTTTTTGATACTGTTGCAAAGCTAACTAAAAAGCCAGCATTCCCCAAGAGAGGATGGCTTTCACTTCAGCAGTAATAAATTTCATGAACTCTTTGAGGAAAAGATCATGACCATTAGAAAGCAAATTACGGACTCCCCTCTTTGAATCTGCGTATTCCTCCAGGGCTTAGCTGTCCTGGATCTGCACAGCTCTGCGAGGGCCCTGGGATCGGGAGAGACACTTAAGTGTTTTAGTACTATATCTCTTGACACAATGATGAAAATAATCATGGCCTCTAAACCTTCAAGCTGACATACTGGATCCTATTCCTACTAAACTGCTGAAGGAGCTGCTTCCTGTGCTTGGCCCTCCTATGTGAACATAATAAACAGCTCTCTATCCCACCGGATGTGTACCAAACTCACTAAAAGTGGCAGTGATAAAGCCTCTCTTGAAAAAGCCAACCTTGACCCGGAAAATATAAAAAAAACTATCGGCCTATATCGAATCTTCCATTCCTCTCAAAAATTTTAGAAAAAGCTGTTGCGCAGCAACTCACTGCCTTTCTGAGACAAACAATGTATACGAAATGCTTCAGTCTGGTTTTAGACCCCATCATAGCACTGAGACTGCACTTGTGAAGGTGGTAAATGACCTTTTAATGGCGTCAGACCGAGGCTCTGCATCTGTCCTCGTGCTACTAGACCTTAGTGCTGCCTTTGACACCATCGATCACCACATTCTTTTTGGAGAGACTGAAACCCAAATTGGTCTACACGGACAAGTTCTGGCCTGGTTTAGATCTTACCTGTCGGAAAGATATCAGTTTGTCTCTGTGAATGGTCTGTCCTCCGACAAATCAACTGTACATTTCGGTGTTCCTCAAGGTTCCGTTTTAGGACCACTATTGTTTTCACTATATATTTTACCTCTTGGGATGTTATTTCGAAAACATAATGTTAACTTTCACTGCTATGCGGATGACACACAGCTGTACATTTCAATGAAACATGGTGAAGGCCCCCAAAATTGCCCTCGCTAGAAGCCTGTGTTTCAGACATAAGGAAGTGGATGGCTGAAAACGTTCTACTTTTAAACTCGGACAAAACAGAGATGCTTGTTCTAGGTCCCAAGAAACAAAGAGAT